CAGAGACGATGATGTGGAGAGATGGAGCGGCTGGGGACTTTAGACCCAAGAGGGAATGGGCCAGTGTGTTGATGACTGGGGGGGGAGCGGGGGCAGGCTTGCAGGATATACCCTTTGGTTGGTTGATGATGCATGGAGGGGATTGTAACCATGGCAATGAAACGATATACGATAAAATGAATGTAAAGCTAATGTTCTCCCATGTAAACTATCACATAATTCGCAATAAAACATTTAAAAAAAATTAAGCTCTAGTTAAAAAGCTACAGTTAATGGACTGAAATAAAAACAGACTAGAATGAATGTGAAAATGATTTTTATGAATAGTCATAACATTTTCAGTGGAGTTCAAATTGAGTTCAAATTTTCAAAATCATTAAACTATGTGGATTTTATCTTCTTTATATTCGCTTAAACTCTGAAGACTAGAGTTTAAAAACCTGGAAACTGGAGAAATAATGCAAATGTGACATTTGAAGAGGGAATTTTTTTTTTTTTAATTCTTATAGATATTAGAAGAAATTTGTCAGAAAAATAACTGGGGACAGCCTATGTACCAGCTGCACACTGCCATTGGACAAGACCAAAGACAACTATTCTTATACAAAATCTCCATTCCTGCTCTGGCCAGCCAAAATCCTGCAATGTTCGTAACTCCTCCAAATTCCTCAACAGTTAGATTTTAGAAAAAAAGAGTTGCTTGTAAATTCAGTGTATTTGATCTGTCAATACTTAATACTCAGGTCTACTATAACATTTTTTTTTATTTAAATACACATGTTGTGACTGGGAGTTAGGATCCTGTGCCACGTATGCGGATGGCATCTTAGAGCCCATATATTTCACAGAGACAATAAAGAATGTGTAGGAGGTGTAATCAACTAATAGAAAACTGCAGGTAATGCACCACGTGAAAGGAAAGAAAACTTCAGCCTGTTTTCTTATCTTATGCAGCTTTTTAGATGGAAACATATGAAATTGCCATTTTTATGTGTAATAAAACTATGTTCCTATCATATAAATTTTAGACCAAAGCTCTAACATCTGTTTGTGGATATCACCTTCTGAATTTTACCTCAAGGCTGTATTTCTAATACAAAGGGACTTTAAAAAGTTCATGGGGAAAAGGAGTTGAAAGATAATGGAATTTCTCCAAGAACTTATTTGAAGCACCCACATATATATTTAAAGGAGCTTTGGTAGCATAGTGATTACGAATCGGACTGCAAACCTCAAGGTCAGCAGTTCGAAACTACCAGCTGTTCCGCGGGAGATAGATGAGGCTTTCTGCTCCCGTAAAGGTTTACAGCTTTGGAAACCCTGTACAGGGTCGCTATGAGTCGGAACCAACTCCACGGCACATAATAGCAACATATATAATTCAGGAACAAATGTGCTCTACATATATCTTAGAAAAGTCATGTATGCCTAGAAACATTATCAACAGTCAACACTCTAGGTTAAATCAAGCTTTAATAGCCAAGGAAATGAAAGTTGGCCACACAAATTTCCATCCTTTCAATCATCTTAAAGAGCTAGTGGGGCCATAGGTTTTCACCTGACTCAGTAGCACATGTTTAAAATGCCTACCCTGACTATGCTTTCCAGCCACCCTTTCACACCTCCAAAGTTAAGTGCCTATGTGGATGAAGCAAAGACATACGCAGCTGAGTACGCCCTGCAGACCCTTGGTATCCCCACTGATGGAGCTGAAACTCCTGCGGCAGCGGCTGCAACTGCTGCTTCAGCCACTACTTTTCCAGGTACGGAGAAATTTACCAAAAATGGCACCGCACAGAGGTCTTTGAGAAATATTCCACCGTGCCCTGGTGTGGCACTGCAGGATAAGCACTAGACAGCAAGGTCGGTTGAACTACAATGTCGGCAGTTCGAATACTCCAGACGCTTCTAGGAAACCCTATACAGAGTTGCTATGAGTCAAAACCGACTCTACAGCACTTAACAACAATGACAACCGTGGCCCTAGGATTACTTCTGAACTCCTCAAATTTATTCCAACTCACAGCAACCTGTAAAGGCTTTCCGAAGCTGTAAATGTTTATGAGACAAGACAGCCTTATTTTCCTCCTGCATAGTGGCGGTGGGTTTGAACTGCCAACCTTGCAGTTAGCAGTCTAGGTCTTAGTCTACAGTACCAGAAGGCTCCTTAATTTTGAACTCTGCCCTATTATTAATCCCAACGTGCACTTTCTATAACCATAGAGTTTGACAGAAAGAACTATCAAAGTATGAAATGAGAACTGGACTGGGTAGCAGAAGTGGTTTCTGGTCATAGATTGTTTTAAATAGCTGTGTGAACTTAGTCAATCCTTTTGAGTCTGGTTTGTTTTACTTTGTTTTGTACTTTAAGACAGTTATAAACTACCCATTAGTAGCTGATAGATATTTTCAGCTCTTACTGTGTGCTAGGTATTTCCCTAAGTATGTGTTGTTATGTGCCGTTGAATCAGTTCCGATTCATAGTGACGCTTTAATAGAGTTTCCAAGACCATAATCTTAACAGAAGCAGAAAGCCTCATCTTTCTCCCCTCTAGCGTCTGGTGGGTTTGAACCTCCAACCTTGTAGTCAGAAGTCCAATGCTTATCCTATAGTGCCACCAGAGTTTCTATCTAAATATAGCCTGCCTTACATTCTCTCATCATAACACCAATTATCATTGTTGTTGTTGTTATATGCCGTCAAGTCAGCTCTGATCCATAGTGACCCGGTATAGAGTTTCCAAAGGGCAGCTGGTGGGTTTGAACCACCAACCTTGTGGTTCATGACACCAGTAAGAGTTAGGTTTTCATCATAAAATCCATTGGACATATGAAGAAATTGAGTATTGGAAAGACTAAATCATTTGCCCAAGGTCAGTCAGCTTTCAAGCAATCCTGATACTCCCAAGTTCTAATCTTCTCTTCTATTTTTTACTGCTTTGCTTTCTGAAAGAAATGTGTACATCACATTTTTCTTCAAATGTTTGATATCAAAAATTATGTTTGTGGTGGGGGAGAGAGACAGAACATGATCTTTCCAATATGTGAATAATCAGGCCTCCGTTGATCTGGTCTGTAATTTTGGTTTGTGGCATGTGCTAATTGCTTAAGGTCTTTCTGCAGATGAGCACCCCTTCAGGGGATACATTGAAAAGACTTTTCCCATTTATTATATACCTATAATAAAGGAGCTCTGGTAGCAGAGTGGTCACAAAAGGGGCTGTGAACCACAAGGTTAGCAGTTCCAAACTACCAGCTGCTCCGCAGGAGAAAGATGAGACTTTCTGCTCCCGTAAAGATTTACAGCCTTGGAAATCCTGTACAAGGTCACTATGAGTCGGAACCGACTCAACGGCACATAACAACAACAATAATAAATGCTAATTATTTAAAAATGAATCCAGCGGAATCAGGCCAAAAAAAAAAAAAAAGTTTAAGGAATTTTTCTTCAGTAGATAGAAATAATGTCATTTTTTAAAAATAGAAGTGTTTTTAAATTTGTTATTCTGACTTGTCATAATACCAGCATACTGCCCACAAGACCAGATCAATGAGGTCTGACTAGACCTAGAAATATGGCATTTCTATTCAATTGATGAATTCATGTATTGGTTAAGTGTAGGTGTGAGACCTGTGTATTCCTCACATCCACAATACCTGGTGTTGTGGGGTTTTTTTTCATTTTCTTTTCTTTCTTAAAAATTGTAAATATATCCTTCATCCAGCAAGTGTAGATGAAAGTAATCATGCTACGCATGTAAATGTGACCTCAATTCTAGCTATGTTTCACAGTAAAAGCATGGAAAAGATCTGGGATGAGTCTCTGCAAAGTTACCAAGGCAACAGTTGTCACTGCAGACGGTAAGGTCTCTTATCAGTGCTGGGACCATCAGCCCCTGTGCTTGCTTTCCATATAATAGGGTGTTCACTTGTCCATTCTGCAGGGATTTGTTCCAGAGCTTCTCAATTTGGGAGGATTCCAAGTCCCTACCTGGTAGAAAGTTGCACTCTAAAGATACAAAACTAAAGTATACAAAATAAACAAGCCACTCAGGAGGATTTTAAAGTTTACTTTCACACTGGACACTATTTACTCTAACCCAAGAGTGTTTTATAAATTTTACGTTCACTTATATTTACTACTGCAAGAAGTTAAAACTGTTTAGGGCGTGAGAGATGTTTTGGGAATGACTAAGAATTTGAGAACCTCTGTTATAACTTTCCTATGGAATCAAGCAAAGATAATAGGTCCAAACGAAGAATCTGTTTGAAATACAAATACTCTTGCACTTAAGAAACTATCCAAATTAAACCTAAAATTCAGAATTCACAAAGCTAATATCTGTGATACACAAGCACATACAACTTACTTATTTTAGGAGTACTGTTTCCAAAAGTATTTGAAAGTAATTGTTAACACATTTCTCATATTTCTGTAAAATATACCAAACTTTACTAGCACATTAGTCAGCAGTACTGACCAAAGTGAAGGAGACAAGGAATAGATTCACTGGGGGGGAAAAAAATCAAGCCAGTCAGCTTCCTGCCACCACTTCCTGAGAATCCACAAAAGGAGACAAAAAAGACCAAAAAAAAAAACAAAAACAAAAACAAAAAACCAATCACTGTGTCTTGCGTTGGGCAGACTTCTACAGCACTTAAACCAAATGGATACTTTTGATCCGCTTTCTTTCATTGTTTAAATATACTTCTCCATTTTTCTTGACATCTTTCACTTAGAAATATGCAAGTTTTTGTCTAAGACATTCCCAGGAACATAACTGATTTTAGGTAATAGCTATTACACTCTCTTCTTCAAGAAAGAATGTTAGTTGAATTGGCAAAAGTTCTATGATCGGTATCCTTACGACGATGACAACAAAATCGAGAGGATCTGCTGAGGCTGCTTCTGTACAGCCACATACCTCGTGGGATTTGATTCCTTGGTGTGGAGGTTTAGGGTCATGGTTTTAAGAGACATCACAGCTAATTGGCCTCATGATGGGTTTAGTGTTTCCATTCTGCCTTCTAGTTTTTTGGGTAGTGCCTGGAGTTAGCAAGCAGCAATCCAAGGCACAGTACTTGATCTCTGTTCACCTGGAGCACCAGAGCAAGAAGGAGTGTTAGGGGAAAAAGGAGGACACGGAATGTGTGGCTGGCTAATTGCCTCCATGAACAACTACCTCCTTATGCCATGTGGCCAAAAGCACTGGATGATGCTTAGCTACTTTGACTGAACCATTTAATCAAAGATTCCATAGCAGAAACCTGACCAAAAGGGAAGAAATGCAGAACAAAATTTTGAAATATCATAGACTCTAGACTTTCTGGAGTCCTGGAGGAGGGATGAACCCTTGAAATGTCGGCTCTGAGATAATCCTTAAACCAAAAATACCCCTGAGGTCTTCTTAAAACTGAACAATAGCTTAGCTTAACTAGCAAACATGGTGTGTCTTGAACATTGTGCTTTTTAAAGTACGATCTTAATGAAATCAAATTGATAACAACTCCAAAGATGAGAATAGGAACCTTAGTGGGCAGTGTGCTTATGTCCGTGAGGGAGGAATAACTTAGAAAAGGAAGGTGACAATGGATGTACCACTCAAAGAATGTCATCTATGTCACTAAATTGTACATGTCTAAGTTGTTGAACTTGCCTATGTTTTGCTGTATATATTCTCAACAACAACAACAAAATTAATAACATTTAGGGAGAAAGGAGTAAATGTTGATCAGCTAGACATAACACTTAAGTGACGGCACACAGATGATTTATTTGTCCCTTAAACCTTTTGGCTATCATAGGATGAAGCCCAGCCTCATCACCTCCTGCTATACCAGAGATAGGATTCATGCTACAGCAAGAAGAGGATGCTACCCATCCTTCTTGGGTTAGGGCAATGGCTTTTAAACTTTTGAAAGTTTCATTTAGGCAGGATTGGGAGTGTAGCAAACCAGACCCATACATAATCTCTCCCATTGTGCCCTGTTGATGTTAAGTGCCCTTGAGTTGGTTCTGACCCATAGTGACCCTGTATAGCGTTTCTGAGAAGCAGCTCGTGGGTTTGAACCACCAAACTTTCAGTTCAAACTGACCTTGCAGTCCAGCGCATTACCCTGCAGCACCACACCAGGACTCCCCTCATGCCCTACCACCTCTTTAATCCCTGTCCCTCATTAATAAATTCTAAGACTCTCTGTAAAAGTCTAAAACTTTTAACATTAATCAACTGATGACTTTCAAGTTTCTGTTTCTTGAATCCCAACTTCAATGTTTCTAATTCTCTAATTCTGATTCTATCTGAGCAACCCTGCCCTAGAACTTTCAAATGCCATTTAAAAAATTGCTAAATCCAAATATTGTTTCTCCTAAGAGCACATTTAAAAATGTACATTTTAACAGTTAGCTTTTAAGCAGTATGTTGAATTTTCAAATTACTTGAATAAGTCAAAAGACAGCCAATCCAAGTCCCTTTCATGAAGTTTCTCTCGGCCTTCTCCAGGGTATGCCGTCCCTAACGCAACTGCACCTGTGTCTGCAGCCCAGCTTAAGCACGCGATGACCCTTGGACAAGACTTAGCAGCATATGCAACCTATGAAGTCTACCCCACTTTTGCAGTGACGGCCCGAGGGGATGGATATGGAACCTTCTGAAGATATCTTTCTTTTCATTTAAGAATAAGACATACAAAACTCTCTGTAAAAGAAATATACCTCTAACTTAGTTCCAACGTGAACATCCATACTGTCTTTCCTAAAGTAATACCTTTACTCAGACCATCCTGCTTATACTAACTTTAGAATCATATGAGAATATTGTTCCTAAATGAAATCAAATGGTTAAGGAGTCTCTTGTTTAACACAAAAAACTAACGAGCCATTATCCTGACATGGTGTTCTTCCAAGGTTCTTGGGTGTCCTGGGAGCATTTTTATAAATCGGGACAGAATGGCCAGAGACCCTTTAGCCAGCACAGGGTTGAGGCTAGGCAGTCCGAGACAGTCGGCCACACACAGAGCGTCAAGTCGCCTCCAATGTTTGAAACACTGGCTCCCAGCAATTTTTGTGATATGCAAAGTCAAAGAGAAGAAAAGCAAAAGTAGTGTGGATATTTTTTAGAATGTGTTCATCATTGGCCACTCTGTGGGGTCTGGTTGCTGACCTGACTTCAAGAAAGGCTGTCCAAGATTTTATGGATTTCACATCATTTCAGTGTGAATGTTCCATCTAGTCTGGATCACCCTGTCCCTTGCATTCATTCCCTGAAGACTTTCCCAAAAAAGTGCTATGATGTGTTGTTACAGATATGATTCAACCAAATCCAGGCCTACTGTTAATAAATTATTTAGTTCACACATATTTTTCCCTAGAATTCCCACTCTTCCCAAGGGTCCCATGAAACAATGATTCCAACTTAAAACAACTGAATTCTCATTTTTCAAAGTTTTGGCTTGACCACATTGATTAATTTTTAGACCAGCCCCATTTTGTTCAGTTCCATTATCATATAATATTGCTGTTGTTAGTCAATATCAGGTTGGTTCTTGCTCATGGTGACTTTATGTAAAACACAACAAAGTATTGCCTGGTATTGTCCATCTTCATGAGTGTTGGTATGTCTAAGTCCATTGCAGTGGGTATTTTGTCTGTCCATTGAAGGTTTCCCTCATTTTCCTTGGCCCTTTTATTTACCACACATAGGGGGAAAGCAAAAACAAATCTATAGAGTATCATGAAAAATTTCCTACAAAAGTTATTTCCAACAAAAAGAGAACATTTATTCTTACTTCTTTGAACTTTTTTGCAGTGCCAGAACACCATTCTGCATCCAGAGGTAGTTTTATTAACTAGGGTTTAGTTTTAGACTGCTAAACCCACTCACTCATATTAAATTTGTCAAGAAAGTCTCTTCCTTCCCTTCTTTTTACTTTAAACATCAGATACATGTAGCTTTACCATATCTAAGTCCTTTGGTCTTAAAGCTATCACAGGAAAACCTTGTATCCATCGCTGCTGATATGAGCAGTTTCTTCAGACTTTTAGTAATGGAGTAACTGAATGTTTTTTGTTCAAAACAGAAATAATCTAAATCCAAGCATATCTAATATTACCACTCAAATCTCATTTGTATTTTAAGACACATAGTACGAAAGTTTCCATTAAAGCAAGACAAACAACAACAACAAAAATTCCTTGCCCCCTCGTAAAATTCTTCAAAACTCAAGGGAAAATAGAAACATATAAGGTACTGAAAATGTCAATTCTTGGATTGAATTCTGTGACCCCAAATCAGGTTTGATTCCAGTCTAAATCAGATAAATTCCAGTAACACTGAATAGTCCCTGTAGCTGTTCTATTAACTCCAATCAGTGTCAAAGTCTTGAAAGATTTCCCTATAACACTGAAAGTCTCTAGGCTTCCACTTTCTCATATTCCATAGTTCAGTGCCCCCAAACTGGCCTACACATCAGAAACTCCTAAGAAGCTTTTAAAAATGCCAAGGTCATAACTCAGACCAATTCTATCAGAATGTCAAGACATTCAGTTGGAAGCCTGGCATCAGTTTAAGTGCCATCAAGTCAATTCCAACCCATAGCGACCCTGTATAGGGTTTCCAAGGAGCAGCTGGTGAGCTAGAACCACCGACTTTGAAGTTCAAACGACTTTGTAGTCTGACGCATTAGCCCACAGTGCCACACCAGGACTCTTAAGTTCCCTTAAGAGTTTGAAAATAAATAGTAAAGGGACTTCTGCATGTCTCATTGATACAAAATAGAAGTTTTGAATTTAATCAAAATAAAATGAAAACTAGTTAATAAAGGAGTCTTCTTGTAAGAAAAATTGGGGTTAGATCATAATCAGTTTTTAAGAATGGGTACCTAAATGCATGACAATTCCAAAGTGCCCCCCCCTCCCAAATTTTACCACCAAGATACCATCATTATTTGTTTGAAAAAAAAAAAGCAAGTTTTCATGATATTTACCCTCCTTAGGAATCATTTTATTCAAGTGGATACAACTGCTTTTTTTATATATATTATTTAATGAAATTTTACTTCTTTCTGGTAGTTTGATAAATTTAGTCTAGGACAAGTAGGGATTAGGAGATTCTTCAGAATTCCATTTGTCAAGTAAGAGACAAGAAAATAAACTGTTGTTTCAGGTCAATTTTCTTTGCATTCAGAGCAAGAAAATTTGAAAAATTTTCTTGTTGTTGAGAAGCTTTCAATTCTGCTGAAACATTCTAGAAACTATCCATGAGTCTACCAAACCCTCTGTTGGTATTGACTTTCCTCACCTTAAGAAATGTAAAGCCTGCCTTGCTATAATGAGCTTGAAACAATTAGGAAAGGAGCTTTTGTTGTTGTTGTTGTTTAATCAAATCTATAATCAAAAGTTTACTTTGCACAAAGTTTATACTCTTGGATTTAAGAAATTATCACCTACTTAACACCTATCATATCTTGTTGCTTCATTATCTTTTTTTTTTTTTCATTTCTTACTTTACTGCTTCCCAATACAGAAAAATTTTCAATTAGCCAATTAACTAAATGATAATAAAATATCCAAACCAGCCATTAAGAAACATCTAGTTAATTAGACTTGGGTCTTTAAGTTTTATTAATAGCTTATTGAGAATTAAAATCAGCCCACTGTAACTTTAGAGAAAAGGGTACAGCAATCATATTAGATACCTACTTGTTTTCTTGTAAAATCTGCATCTTCTCAAATATTTCTTTCTGGTTGATGTTGTTATGTGCCGTGGAGTCAATTCCAATTCATAGCAACCCTGTACAGGGTTTCCGAGGCTGTAAATCTTTACGGGAGCAGAAAGCCTCGTCTTTCTCCCATGGAGCAGCTGATAGTTTCGAACTGCTGACCCTGAGGTTCGCAGTCCAATTCGTAACCACTACACTACCAGAACTCCTTCAAAGTGACCCTGTGTAGAGTCTCCAACGAGCAGTTGGTGGGTTTGAGCCACTGATCTTTGAGGTAACAGTCCAGCACTTATCCTACAGCACCACACCGGAGCTCCACTGCTTTCTTACCCCATTACTACTGCTAAAATATCACCTCCAACTGCAACAAAATATTTTTTCCTAGATGACTATTTTATCCCCACTCTTACTCTGTGTATGTCAGACCACATTGTATTTAGGTAACAGTGTCCAAAAAGCTGCTAGAAAAATAGTGACTTCAAAAAATATCTAACAAAGACAAGCTATTTCCAAACCACAACTCCTTTCTAACGATGGTATGGAAATCAAATCGTAGTTTATTTATTGATGATAGCTCTGCAGTAAATTAATTTTAGTTTTATTCAAAGGTTTAAAACATGCTTCCAATCATATAGATTAGCTTTCCATCAATAATACATAATCTAATTTCAAAGTTATGTTAATTTTCACTCTATTTCAAATGGCTTTATAGTTTAGTCTTCGACAATTTGGCCATGTTTAGAAAGCCCTGGGAATTGGGAAATTGTCTAGAATGTCTTGTGAAGATTGGAGGTGGCAATAGTGGTAGTTGTGTGCCAGAGTAGGTTTTGACTCATAGCGACCCTATACCGTATAGGGTTTCCGAGGTGTAAATCTTAACAGAAGCAGGAAACCTCATCATTCTCCTGAGGGAGGACTGGTAGATTTGAACTGCTGACCCTACACTTAGCAGCTCAGCTCATCAGTGAGCTACCAGGGCTCCTTCATGTGAAGAATAAGAGATAAGAAAATAAATTGGTATTTAAAGTAAATTGTCATTGCATTCAAAGCAAGAAAGTCTGATAAAGTTTATTGTTGTTTAGAAATTCCAGCCCTGCCCAAGCTTTCCTAAAATTAAGTGATAAAAGTAAAAAATGACCATTGTGCCCAGATGCTCACATAAAGCCATAATCATTTATCCTCTCCTTGGACTCATAAACAAGTTTCAAGGGAGATGAAAACATACCAAAAAAATTAACCTAGGTAGAGACTTGGCACTTTTATATATTGTAAATATGCTTGTTTAAAAACACAGTACAAATATAGCATAAGTGAATTGTGTAATAAATTTGTGATAAGTACTTTAAAGAAATACATTGAGGACAGACCATAGTAGTCTTAATATACTTATTGGAAGGCAGAAAGGAAATAGGCAGCAAACATTTTTAACTGACATGCAACAGTTGTCAGTAAAGAGGACAGCATCCAACTGGACTTTATGACCCTGTTAAACTGATTGTTGAATCTGTTTACTTCATTCTACTAGCATCTTGAAAAGCTCTATAAAACATTGCATTAAAACGTGTATATCCATCAGGTAGTATGTTTGTATTTGGTTGCAGTGTTAGAAGAAAGCAAAGCAAGTCCTGCTGTGATGAGGAAAACTATAGGAAAATAAAGGTATTTTTTCTGGCCTCCAAGCCCCGCCTCTTTACTTATATAGAAAAACATTAAAATGATTTTTTTAGTAGATTACAAAAAACTGGGTACAGAAGAATATTCCATTGCCCCCAAAATGTCCTATGTTTAAAAAGTCAGCCTTTTCTTATAATATTTATATAGAAAGTAGAATGCAAGGAGTAAGTATGGATAAGAGTATGTATGTTGAATCTATAGATTCACGAAGGAGACTGTAAATTTCTGTGCCTCCAATTCTCAATTCTGCAGGAAAGATAAAAGTTCATACTCTAGGTAAGCATGAAGAGATTCATAAGCTACCAAGAAGTGAAAAAGAATTCAGAAACCAAAAAC